TTTGATTCCTCGCTCCTCCGTTCTTCCGCATTTCTTGTGTTCTAGTTCTTTGGTTCTTCTGTTCAGTGTGTCATCCCTGCCGTGGGTTCCCTCTGTTCTCTGTCAGTATCTCTGAGTTCTGTGATTTCCTGTGTTGCTTCTGCTCTAAGTCTCGTACTTCAGGTTTGTTGGTTCTGGTTCCTTGTTTCTTAGTTTTCCCAGTTTCCTTTAGTTTCTGCACATCTGTTTCTGTTTGTATCCTCACCTTGTAAATAAAGCTCACTCGCATCAGGTCAGGGCCTGCATTTGGGTCCATTCACTCATTCCTCCACACGTCTGCAGCAGCCGTGACACGGGTCATCGTAGAAATGTAATCTGTCCATCATGTCCTGGTCCAAGTAGGACAACACCTCACTCGGGTGGTGACGCCGTGTGATGGAGCAGCGGCTCTACTTCTGAGAAACACGTCCAGCATTCAGAGAAAGCTCATCTGCAGCAGGAGCATTGATCGATCAGGTAAATCGACAGCTTCTCTCTTTACACGTGCAGCGTCCACGTGACTGGGATTCGTCTGTCAGTTTAAACATTTATTCTAGAGTCTCCTATCTCATCTTATTGTACCTTACATGTTCTTATCTATCATTGAAAATATCATTGTTTGATTATTGCAGTGAGTTTCTCCTCACAGGCTGACAGATCACATGGTCTGTGTCCTCCACCTTGTAGCCTGTTTGTCTTTTTCAAAGTCTTTCAGGGGAAACGACACTCAGCTCGTTATTTATTCTTTTTAAATTGCCGTCATTTCCGTGGAAATACTTTGGAAAGCTGTGCCTCCTTTGGCCCTCAGTCACTGCTGTTCACATTTTCACCGTCAGCCTGATCTCTTGCCTCGGAGGTGCAGGCTGCTGGTTCTGACGATTCTGATGCACTAACATACGGAGCGTGGCAAGAACAGAACAGGCTTCAGGTTTCATAAATGAGAACATTTCCACTATTAGTGAACGAGGCTGCTCCAGGGAAGCTGGAGGAAACACCATACATGATTAATTAACTGCTTACACTGTACGATAATCTAATTGGGCAGAAACAAACTGTGAGTAGAGCCAGACTCATCCCTGCATGAAAAATGATCGTTGCACTTGAATCCTACAAACACCTGCTTGTAATATTCGATATGCTGTGCGGCTGTCCACTGTCCCTCTGTGCCAGCGAAACCTCGGTGACCTCTCGTTACCTCCAAGAATGAAGCTTTGTGGATGTATGATTAGTCATTGCTGTGAGCATGCTCATTACATGAGTCACTTCTTAATTACAGCGCTATTACATTTCAGTTAATATGATCATTTTTCTTCTGTCTGCAGTAAAAGGGTATACTGAGGATATTGCGCTGTGCCAGCAGCGGCCAAGAGCTATGCAGGCATTAGAAAAGCTAAATGCTATGTGTTGTTAGCATGGTGGACATATCCAGTGCACGGGTCGTAGCTTTCACTAGGTTCTTTGTGTGAGACTGGTGTAAACAGTGGAAAGAGAGATCTGAGAGCTCCTCATAAACATCACCACAGAGCACACAGCAGGCTCCGCCTCTTCTCTCCTTTCCTTCTCACTTTCACATAGCGGTCGCTGTATCATTGCACAGAGGCCCGCGGACATGGGATGGACTCAAGTGCAGTTTCTAACCCGGAGGCTCGAGGTGCGGTGTAACAAAAAGTCTTTATTCACAATGAAGCTAACAGAAATCTCAGACTAGAATTAAGGAACATAAACTAGACGTCTGAGGCGAGAGACTAGATGGCAATATCCATTTCCACTGTTATGCCGATGACACCCAGCTTTATCTGTCCACTAAACCTGATTCTGCTCTTCCCCCATCCTCCCTCACCCTCTGCTTAGCTGAACTAAATTCATGGTTCTCTTCTAATTTTCTCAAACTCAATAGTAATAAATCCGAGCTCCTCTTGGTCGGCACTAAATCAACATTATCCAGAACCAACAGTTTCTCTATTGCTATCGATAACTCACCGGTCTTCGTTTCTTCCTCTGTGAAAAGTTTGGGTGTCATCCTCGACAGTACTCTATCTTTCAATTCACACATTAATAATGCTACTCAGTCTGTATATTTTCAATTACGCAACATTAATCGTCTCCGTCCTTTTCTCTCCCCACATGCCACTGCCATTCTTGTCCACAGCCTTGTTACTTCCCAGATTGATTATTGTAACTCACTTCTTTTTGGTCTTACTCAAAAATCCATCCACAAGCTTCAACGCGTCCAGAACTCTGCTGCCCGTATCATCTCCAGGACCCTTCTGTCCACCACATCACTCCTGTCCTGCAGCAGCTTCATTGGCTCCCGGTCGCATCAATTTCAAAATACTCTTGTACACATTTAAGGCTATTCATCATCTCTCTCCTCCATATCTCTCTGATCTGGTTAAGATCACCGCCCCATCTCGTTGTCTCAGATCTTCTTCTTCCCTTTCACTCTCCGTCCCTTCCCCCCGTCTTGCCACCATGGGGAGCCGGGCTTTCCGCTGCTCCACGACTCTGGAATTCCCGACCTCCTGATTTAAGAAACATCTCTTCCTTCTCTCTCTTTAAGTCCAAACTCAAAACCCACTTGTTCAAAATAGCTTATCCCACATAACCTCTCCACTCTGCTATTTTATTTGTTTATGTCTTATGCTTTTATGATTCTGTAAACTTCTTGCTTTTATGTTGCTTTTAAGTGTACAGCGACCTCGAGTGTTTTGAAAGGCGCTTTCAAATAAAATGTATTATTATTATTATTATGGCAGGGATAACTGGGTGCAGGGACTGAGCAGGGCAAAGCTTGCAGGTGGGGGTTGCTTGGAGGAGGAAGGCAGGAGAGGTCAAGGTGGGCGCTGCATGCAATGCAGGGAGGCATGCAGGAGAGACTGGCAGTTCGAAAAGGTAGGTAGGTGGGTTTCAGATGTAAAGTTGGCAGATAAATTGGTGAAGACCAGTTGAGTGCGCAGGTCATAAATACTGTCGGTATGGTTGCCATCAGGTGAGGAACAACAAAGACTCCGCCCAGCGGGGAGGAGCCGATGCCGTGGAAAACTACCCAGACCACGACACGCTGCTTCTCTCTGTCTCATGCTCCCACTTTGTTTCTCCCACCTCTCACCCAATGGTTGTGCCGAGCTTCTCGGAGCTGTGGCGTCTTCCTGTTTCTTAGTCACCACCTTTCCTCCACCTAAGCCCCGTCTCTCCTGCTGCTCTGCTGTCTGTCTACAGGTGGAAAACATCCAGCAGATGCTCTGGCCGTAGCCCAGTTGCTTTCTTTATTACCACGCGCCTCTTTATCACGAGCCACCTACCGTCATCAGAAATACATTGGTGTGGTAGGACGGACTTCTCCAAGGGTTTGACGTGTTTATCTTCCTCTAATGTGCGCTCAGGTGAGCTCTTTTAATCACACTGCTATTTCATTAAAACAGTTGTAGCACGAAAAGGAACAGATGGCTATTTAAAATTGTTGTCTCACTCAGTAATAATCGACCACATTTATATTAAATGCCATCTGGAAACAGAGCACACGCACCATACTCTCCGTCCCAACGTTTGTGCTGCTCAAGAGGAAAAAATGAAAAAATCTGGCGCTAAGTTTGTTGCTAAAGACACAAATGAAAAGATGGACTAAACAGCAGTCAAACTATTCACACATACAAAGTTAGACAGAAACATGAGCTATCATGTGCCAAATGTTCCCTACACAACACAGAAACTAAGGCCAAGTGAGAAGCTTGGACAGTCGCTCGAGGCTGACTGAAGGAATCGGCTGAAACTGGCCCGCTGCATGATGAGATGATGAGAACTATGATCACAGTTAATCAAATCAATATGTCTTCATTTCCATGGGCTCTACTTCAACTTTAAGTTCAAATAAAAAATCAATAAGATACAGAGGAAGGACGCGGTGTTGACAGCAGAAAGACGTCTGTGGATGTGCACGCCACTCAAAAGCAGCCAAAGCTGAACCTGAGTCACGCTTGCTGCTATCCTGTCACAAGTCTCCACCCACTCCACCCTGCCTGCACTTGTCTTTATCTCTGTTGTGCACACGTCATTGCTTTGGGTGATTGACCCCAAATATTTAAGCTGCACCCGTCCTTGCATCCTCACAGCTACACCTGTCTCCCTCTCATTCAGTCCTCTCTCCAGAGCATACCTCCACCTCTGCAGGCTTCCACCTGCTCTCACTACAGATCTGCAGACATCATGAATCCTGCCTGGCTTCTTCTGTCAGCACGTCTATCAAAGACGAAGGCGCTCAGATCTAATGTGCTCTGCACTCACACATGTGCTGCACCAACCTGAAATACTTCTATCATTATGTACCCAGACTTGCTGCACATCTTTTCAAGCTCGATGAACAACTCACTGTTTCCCTTTGTCACCTCTCTCTGCTGTATTCCTAATGCAGGACGTTCTTCTTCTCCCTGACCATCAAATGCCTTTTTTTCTCTGTCCAGCAGATAAAACGAACATCTTCGTGACAGTTTCCTTCACTACTCTAGCTGTGCTTTCCCAGTCGTCTGGTAACAGCCACTCGGAGCCTGCCTCGATTCCTCCCCGAAACACTGAGCACAACTCTTCCTCCTTCAACTTCCACCATTTAATCCTCGTCTTTGCCTTCACACGCTTCATCTTCTTGATTTGCAAAGTCATTCTGCAAACTACTACCTGACGCTGCCTAACTACACCCTGACATCACATTGCAACCTCCTATCTCTTTCAAACTGCACCTTCTGCACAAGATATAATCGAAATGTGTGCACAATCTTCCAGTATCATTTGTCCCTCTTCTTGAAGTGTGTTCACCACAGACATTTCTATCTGTCCTTCTGCATTTGTCTCTTTAACACCATCTTTACCTCATCATCTAAATGAGTGGCATACACGCTGACAGCATTTAACATCACACCTTCAATTACAGGTGCACACACGAGCAGAAACAGCTCAGAAATGACGAGCGGGCATCGTTTTGTTCTTCCTACCGTCTTTTCGGTAAAGGTTGATCTCCACCTTCCTCTCCTCCGACCCCAGGAGGGCCTGCGCCATCTGGGCGATAGCCAGTCGCTTGGTGTCGGGTCCATACAGGAAGTTGCACGCGCACGGCTTCTGCATGATCTCAGCCCTTGAGTAGCCACACATGTGGCAGAAGCCATCGTTACAGAAGATGATGGCGCAGTTCTCCACTCGGGCGTTGGCTATGATAAACTTGCGACCTGTGGGTGAAAGGACAAAGGTTTCTGCTCAGTTATTGACTTTTCACTGACACAGCAACACCAACTCAACATATGATCAAATGAATGGAAACAGGTAGCTCAGGTTAATCACATTTATCCTGAATGAAAGCTCCGGTGACCATATTTGGATTTCCAAAGAAGAGGACACTTGACCCAGAAAAACTTTAATCAGAAACATTTAACATATTTAAACGATGCCGTCTCTGTGCGGTTAATGAAGGGTGAAATAAAAAAATGTCATATAGGCTTTTATAAGTCAACAAGTGCAAAGAAATAACTTAAAAACCTCTGGAATTAAATAATGGTGCAGAAATAAAAGAACAAGTACCAGGACGGCACGAGGGAAAGCTGCAGTTGTGCTTTGACATCTTTTAAACATCATCAGCGCGCCGTCTGTCCCGTCTGTGAGCGCAGAACAACCACTCACAAAGCAGCAGCTGATGATGTCACACATGCTCTGTTGGAAAACCCGGACAGAGCGGGAAAATGGACGGGAAAGAGGACGGTTGGTCACCCTACGGACGCTCAGGAGGATTCAAATATTTTAACGTGGAGGCTCGTTCCTGTTCACGTCTTACGGAGCCCCGCAGGGGACATGGGAGAAAAAAAATGAAGACGGACTTTTGCAAGATCTCGCAAAACAAACTCGGGATCTCGCAAAAGTTTTAGCCGCATTCTTCGGAGGCCACCAGCTCGAAGCCGACCGGGAGGTCGAGGCACAATGTGTCGGGAAAGCGGTGTTCCTCCCGGCTGTAGTAGGTCTCGACCTCCCGTTAGCTTCGAGCTAGTGGGTGTCAGATCTCCGAAAACGTCGGAGCACTTGTGCAAATATGTGATGTCTTGTAAACCGAGCAGGTATCTGACGTTTACACAACTACATTCACGCCTCAAAATATCTTAAAAGTGTATTTTGTGACCCAGAAAGAGGAATATTACAACTAAGTAGCTGCCGCCATTGTTGGAATTCAACTTTTGCGAGCTCTCGCAAAAGTCCGTCTTAATTTTTTTTCTCCCATGTCCCCTGCGGGGCTCTGTAACATCTTGTTGACGCTCTAGCTAAGCAAGATTTTTCAGCTGTCAGACTTCCCTGGCCCAGGTCGTTTTATCCAAATCTGTATCTTCATTGTAACAACATTGAAAAGCCACCAGAGGCAGCATTTCAACGTTTTCTTCAGACTGCTTCTGCCCTGAATGACAAAAAGCACTCAGACATTAAGCTAATATTAGCAGCTATTCTGTCCTTGCTGCTGTCAAACCGAATCTCCAAAGAGATTCAGATTTGTTCATTTTCAATTCTAATATTAAAACAAAGAAAAACCTTTCAGCCTGCTGTTACCCAACAAACAGCACCACATGATTTTTGGCACCTCTGCTGCTAAAACAACACTAAAATGCAACAGAAATGAAAGTTTGTTTGTAATTAGGTCCAAAACTTTACAGCTGCAACCCTAACAGCCTCTTCTTCCACAGAGTGTCTCTCCTGTGAACCACTCACTGTAGAAGGAGCTCTTTTGCTCCGTGGCCTCTGCTCAGTGTCACAATATGATAATCAGAGAGCTTTAAACACACAAAGACACTCAAACATGTTCCTTCACTCAGGACTCAGACTCACTGTTTCATATGCTGTGAATAAAAAGTGTCTTTAAGGGAAATCTCGAACGTCTTTGGCTAACGCAGGAAAACGACATAAATGAAAGAGTCTGAGTGGGAGTGTGTTTGTGCTGTGTTAGCCTGACAGTCTGCCAGTTTGATAGATGGCCTCCACTAAAGAGCATTAAGCTTCTTGTTTCTTTCACTTAGTCCCACTGTGGGAAGAAGGAAGGAGAAAAGAAAGGATGAATGTAACAGATGTAAAAAGATCACTGAGGAAAGACTGAAAACAAAGAGGACACAAGCATGAAACAGCTGACATAATGAATGCAGGTATTTGGAGAAAGATCAGGAGAGAGTGGGATTAGAAGAGAAGTGATGAAGCAATAACTCTGCATTAATCACGGTGACCACATCACATCATCGACCCTGATTATTTCACAGTTTGACTTTAAATTCACTTAAATCCAAGTCTTTATTTATTCTATTTAAATTGTTCCTGGAGAGATCTTCCTAAGCTGACTTTCTCTTAGGCTCCAAGAGTTCCTGCTCCACAAAGTCCAACACTAACTGCTGTTTTTAGTAAACAATTTCCCCTTTACGCCTGCTGCAGAGAGTCCTGATGAAACATTTGTGGCTGAAAAGCCGATGCCATTGTCTGTCATAATAAATATGCAAAATCTTTTGTTTATTTGTAGCTTTCAGCTGCAGGTCACATTTTCTACGTTCCTCAGCTCCCTGACTGTCCCACCTGAAGACCAGAAACCTGACAGTCAGCAGAGCGGTCCTGATGCTGCTGAAAATCCAGCACTGATATTACTCGGGAGGATTGTCATGTCAATAAAAACTCAATCAAAATATTTGCCAGTGATCAGGCTGTTTTATAATTGGTCGTTTGCTTAATTTGTTCAGAACAGCATTTATTGTAATGTAAAAGTTGAATAATAATAATAATAATCCTGTGAGTCATCCGATGTAACTTGAATAAAAACTATTTATTGTTTTTAAGTGGAAGCATTTAAGAACAAACTGTGAATGTCTAGTTCCAGATGTTGTAAGCTACAGGAAACACTGCTCATAACATTTACTGAAGAAGAACGAAACACAAGGACTAAAGCCACAGATTGTGAATAAAACACGGAGGTCATAATTTACTAAATGAACATGACATCGTGTTCAGTTTGAAACGTCCAGATGTTCGCTGTGACATATTTACTGATGTCACACTGACAGCGTTTCCAAAAGTTGAGATCGAGACTTTTTAAAGAGTTTCTCTGTGACCATTATCTTCTTCTGCAAAAATAACAGTCACTTGAGAGATCTCCAAACACATTTAAAAGCCATTAGAAAGGCAGCATTTCGAGCTAGACATGCCCATTATAATGAGGGAAAAGGCCTTTAAGGGACAGAAGGCTGTTTTTCAGGAGGAGGTTGCAGATGGGAGGCGTGCATCAGAGCTTTGGATGAAGGAGAGTCGAGAAGGATTCGCTTCTTTGGGTGGTATAAATTATTTAAATTAAGGTAACAAGATTTTTGCTGCCTGGCAGATTCTTATTTGTGGAAAAAGAAACGAACCAGTTTTTATTGTAGAGCTTCCTCATGAATGATAAATCTTCCCCAAGGACTTCAGGCTACGATAAGGGAAGAACGCCGTATTGCTGCAGTGACAGACGTGACTCTTGTGATTGGTTTTTGGTCAGTGACGCACACTTCGGCCCACACTGTACCTAGAACTGCTTTCAATGCTACAAAATGTAATTTTGTACATAAATGATGACAGTTTGTTTTGTTTTAGTGTCGAATGTGGACACAGAGCCACGTCTTTAATAATCACCACTGGAAAAAAGAGACTGGGCAATAATCACAAAGCACAAAAGTAAAAACTTTGAGGCTCTAAATCGATGCCAGGGGAAACTAATGACGAGCAGCATCCACCAGCTCCAGCCAAACGTCTTCACCTCTCTTACTGATCGTTGCCTTGTCAGGAAACGTTTGCTGATGTGTTGAGAGCCAAAGCTGGCTTTTCTGTCAGCCCAGTGAGCAACTTTCTGTCTCAGTCAGTATCCACAGCCTGGCTCATCTGCGACTCAGCGCCAATATCTTTGGGAGAAGGTAATGTGTCATACATTGTCCCTATGATGAATGAATGAATGAAATTAAACCCACGTCGGTGCACTGGGTCAATTTTTCTTTCTAAGTGTTCTTCATTAAACTTGATTATGAAAAAGTCCCAGGAGGAAGAGATGGTAGACGGTCATTATTCCCTGTAAATTACGTCTACGAAGAGGTTCACAGAGGGGAGTGTAGTAATTCCCTCTCAAATAGTGATTTATAAGTCATTTTATCATCACTGGCAAGACATGCATCTGCCACACCCGACATTTCTGCACATCACATTCCAGCTCTGCCCGTCGATATCACGCCTCCTGTGTCGGGCTCGAGATGAGTCATTGTTATTGGAAAATGTGTCCCTGTTTCAATTGTCGAGCTGTAACTATTTTTGATTGAGTGCACATTTCAGTGTCTATGGGTGTTTACTTTTCTGCACTGTGCAAACATATAAAAGTCCAGAAAGGCAAACAACTTGAAGGAATATTCAATTCAATTTTAATTTTACAATATGTCAAATAACAAAACAGTTGCCTCAATGTGCTTTTTATTGTAAGGTAGACCCTACAGTACAGAGAGAAAGCCAACAAGCACTTTGGCGACAGTGAGAAGGAAAAACTCCCTTTGAACAGGAAGAAACCTCCGGCTGAACCAGGCTCAGGGAGGGGCGGGGCCAACAATTCCTTCAAACAGCAAGTCAAACACACAAAACAACAAAAGGATATGTTTGCTCACTAAATCAGAGAACTTTGTGACACAGAGCTCTCACACAACATTCACAAAATAAACAGTTTCTGTGCTGCAACACCTCCAATAAAGACGAGTAAACGCTCAACGATACGTCTTTATGTTACACTGATGGTCAACCCTTTGTGGCAGTTGAACCCAAATAAGTGGCAGCAGATTTTTCAAACCTCCGTCAGTCACGTACAAGAATCAATACAATACAAATTTATCTGTATAACACATTTAGAAACCAGAGGTAATAAATAAACTAGCAGGTGGAAGACAATAATTAACCAGGCATGCAAGATAAGATAAGATAAGCTAAGCTAAGCTAAGCGAAGCTAAGCTAAGATAAGCTAAGATAAGCGAAGCGAAGCTAAGCTAAGCTAAGATAAGCTAAGATAAGATAAGCTAAGCTAAGCGAAGTGAAGCTAAGCTAAGCTAAGATAAGCTAAGATAAGCTAGGCTAAGCTAAGCTAAGTTAAGATAAGATAAGATAAGCTAAGCGAAGCTAAGATAAGCGAAGCGAAGCTAAGCTAAGATAAGATAAGATA